TGTTTTAAAATGTTTACAGTAGATATTTTAAAATATCTAGGTTTTAACTAATATTTTTTAAACATATAGACATTCCAAACTTAGTTACCTCCCCTGAGATTTCAAACGTGAAATTTAAACCGTACAGTACATCACCTGAGCGTTTTCAACTTCACAGTTAAAGAAATAACTTTCAGATGAACACAACGATTTTGTCTTAGAAATAAATAAAAAAAATAAAGAGAACACTCTGATGATGACATTGTCCTTATGTCGAAAGTACTTGGAATAAATGAATATGTATCAACATCGTAATTTTCTCTTTTCCTTTAATCAGGGTACTAAGAAGTTTGTCCGCGAATATGAGAGGAATCTATTGAAAATAAGTAGACAAAACTTGTGTAAATTACTCATTACATGTCTTAATGAAAACATGTTGCCAATATATATATATATATATATATATATATATATATATATATATATATGCATAGAGAGAGCGAGAGAGAGAGAGTGAGAGAGAGAGAGTGAGGGGTAGGGAGGGGGATTAATACAAATACAACGATTGTTACTTAGCTGAGTGATATTACCTTGAGAATTCCGACTCTAGAATTTCGTAGACGGACCCTCTAGGAATCACTTGGTCCACTCGTCAGGGGCTATATCCTGTTGGAGAAAATCAATAAAGAAGATACCGGTTCGTTTCCTGTCGGCGCGGGGAGGCAGAAAGGTTCTTTTTGATCTAGGCCGGTTGTTACTCCGCTGTTTAAGAAAATTTAAAAAATAATAATTTATAATAAGAAATAATTTCGGATTAAAATAAATCCACATATATATATATATATATATATATATATATATATATATATATATATGATGTATTTTTAATCTGACATTAGATACTAAGATAGTTGAGAAAAAAATCAACACTTGCTGCTTAACGATTGCGTCTAGCATGAAATAGCCTGTCGCCTGAGTGCTAACTTCAATGTTCACTTTTATGTTTACACACGCTCTATCTCTGATATTGAGCACTTTATCCCATAAATATACCATACCTTAAAACTCTCTCTCTCTCTCTCTCTCTATATATATATATATATATATATATATATATATATTACTTAAGTGTTGTTTTTAGGGGATACTCGTATTTCAGTAAACAATCTTTTTATTTATTAAACCGTATATTTATTTATTCTCGTCTATCGACCTGAAGATTCGAGAATATTATTAAAGAAAAATATGCGCTCTCTGACAAGGAACAAGATTCAAGAAGACAAAAGATAGTGATTAACGCTGCATTTAAATTTTTGAAGATTATAGTTATCAGAGAAGCAATATATCTGAATGGAGCTCCACAGGTGAGAAGTGCGAGAAAAGAATCTCTTAGAGTAGAAGTGGCGGTTGCATCGAGCTAGTTCAATAGTAAAACGATGAGATCTGGATGCCAATCTTGTAGCACGCTTAGATTCATGTATCCGAGAAAAAAAGCTCATTTGAGCAGTTGACATGAAAATATTTGTAGAAAAGATAGAGGGAAGCCACGTCACGTCGGTGAGAAAGTGACTGAAGTCAAGATGCCAAGTCAGCATTGATAATATTTACAGACTCCTGTTTTGGATTTTGTCAAGAATCTCCAGATGTACAACAGGAGTACCAGACCAGATATAACAACATTATTCAATGTTACATCCAATTTGTGGTACAGTATCTTTTCTGATGGTTCGTACGTGGTAGAGGCCTCTATTCACTTATCACGTTGATAAATTCTGACCGGCCAATGCTTTGTAGGCTGTTGGATTTTTCCTTCTCGGGTTATTACTGACAGGTACCATAAATAAACGCGATCGTCGATCAGGTTGTATCGTTCTGGAACTGCTGGAATAATATTTTGTCTTTTATCATAATTACTCAACTCTTTCTATTTGTCTATAAGTGTTACATTCAGTATATCAAAATATAATACTTTATATCAGAGTAATTGCCTAAATATCTATAGTATCAAATTTGTCGCTGATCTCAAAAGTGACCAAAAAATCTGTTGTTAACTGGGGCAAGGAATGGCTTGTTAATTTTAACGCCTCCAACTGCTTTCTATTAAACATGAGAGACTCATTTCTGCCTTCCATCTACAAGGCTGATGCTAACCTCCAGGATAGTTACGCGTTGCGCCTTTTCAAGCTAACGTGGAAAGATTATGAAGTGGAAAGATTATATTGAATTAATTGCTAGGTCTGCTGCTAGGAAAGTTGTTTCACGGTGCCGTGTTAGAAAATTTTTTATCTCCAGAATCTTTCTTACATATTTATAAGTCTACCATTCGTCCACGCTTAGAATATTGCTGTCACATATGATCCTGCTTTATGATTTCGATTCTTGATAAAATCCAAAGAATCAGTGATGTTATTGGTCCTGACCTGGCATCTCTTCTTAAGTCACTTTCCGACCACCGTAATGTAGCTTCCCTGTGCCTTTTCTATAAATACTTGTTCGGATGAGCTCTTTCTTATGGTTTTGTAATCATGTTTGTAAATACTCATTGGGGCAAGTTTTTAGAATTGTTGTTTTATTCCCCGCCCCCACAGACAATGAATTGTAAATATGGGGACTAGTTAGTATTTTTATAGAGACGGTGAGGTATTATGCTGGATGTAGTAAGGAAGGTACGTATGAATGTGTTGTTTTGATGTAAGGAATATTGTTCGTACGATTGGGTCAGTGTTAAGTTATAGCTAAATTATAGTTAAGACAGAAGAAGACCGCCCTTTCCCAATCCAAATTTTTGAAAACCATTATTTTAACATTTCTGTCTATTTTACAGAATAAATATCGCTCTTTCTTATAGTACCTCCACTTAATGAATTTAATCGCAGTACTAGATTGGCAACTAGGTCTCATCATTTTACAGTTGAATTGTCTAGATATAACCATAAGTTCTTTGCAAACAGTTTTTTCTCTCGCCCATCTTTAAAAATTTTAAATGCAATGTCAATCGTTATATATCCTCTTGATTCCTCTTTTCTATTTCTTTTTCTTTCACACTCAGTAACTCCTTGTGCCTTAGTGGCTTTATTAATGGATTTGAGGTGAAAGGATAAACATTCTTAAGTAAGATGCTGTTTAGCCACCCCTCACTACTTCAAACAAAAGATTAGGAAGTAAAGTGTCATCAATTCTGAAAAGGACAATATGGTGCTATATATTTCAATATATATTTTAATTTATATATTTAAAAAAAAATCTGCGATGTTATTGGTTGTGAACTGGCATCTCGGCTTCAATCACTTTCCCACCGCCGTAATATAGTTTCCCTGTATCATTCTATAAATACTTTATGCAGCTTCCTTCATACAGAAGCAACGTTACAAGCCTATCGCCATTTCAATGGTAAATGTTCAAATAAGCTCTATTCTTTATTTTCACCAGTTCAGATATTTATTGCTAGGACACGCCATGCCACTTCCACGGAGTCGAATCATCCTCATCTCCTCCATATTTCAAATGTAAGGATTGATTGATACATTTTCTACGGCTTATCAACACTTTGCAGGTTATTTAAAGTAAGAAAATATGTTTAGATTGAAATAATTTGTTTTGAAGACAATAACTGTTCCGTGATAAAATTCTTACTAATTAACCCATAGTTGGGAGAGAAGCGGCAGATTTGCTATTACTTGATCTACTTTTAGGACTTTCTGCTGGTCTGGTCCTGTCTTCGCACGTCTGCAAGTTGAGGGCGCTTCTCTCGGCTGAGAAAAAACTGGTGTTATATAGCTCTCCCAGTCCCAGCTCCACGCTGACTATTAGCTAATATGTGCCTAGTATCATCCATATGTAAATAGTCAGCGCAACCTACTTCTCTCAACATCCCATTGTGGAAAGGGACGCAACTCATGGTACTTACAGCACCACATACAACCAACTTGGAGTCTTTTATCAGGCTCACCCGATTCTCTATTACAGATTTGTATGAAAAACCACCACCAACAACAACAAAAATATTTTTTCTAGGAAAAGTCACATACTTCCTCATCGATATGGCTGTTCCTGGTAACTATAATATCAAGCTGAAAGAATTTGACAAGGGGAAAAGTACACCTTTCAGATCGAGGTTACCAGAATGTAGGTCGTTCAGTTATCATTAGGGCGTTGAGGTCTGTATCAGTGAGCTTAAAGTCGTCCATTAAGAAAATTGGAACAAAGCGTAGTATCTTACCGCTTCATTGGTCGATTCATTTTTTACAGCTTAACAATTTTCAGGCTATTTAAAACTAGAAAAATATCTAGATTGTAAGAATTTATTTTTTGAGATAATAATCGTTTAGTGATACAAGTCTTACTAATTAACCCATAGCTGGGGGAGAAGAGGTGGATTCATACCTTTCCCAAGGGTATTTGTGCGTAAGTGAATATAACAAACCCGAGTGGGATTGGAACTCGGCTCTTCGATTAAAAATTCCGAGCCATTATCCATTACACCACCCACACATCCAAGCTTATAGCACCTGGTATTCCCAAGCGATCACCCATCTAGGTACTTACTAGGCTCGATGTTGCTTAACTTCGGTGATCGTACAGGAATCGGTGTTTCAGACGTGATGTGGTCGTATGCACATTTGGTGAGATATCTAAACATTTAAATAAAAGAATAAACGAATACAAGCGAAGTTTTTCAAATAAAAAAAAAATTCAATGAATTCGTGGTTCATTGTAATAGAATGTAATTCTGATTAAAGATATATTAAAGTGAAAATGTATTGAAAGTGTACTAATCTCAGAGTCCGTTATAGAAAATTTACTTTCAGAAACATAAGACATCACTCAGATCGTATGTTTTGGCTTTTTAGTGATACGAGTCTTGCTAATTAACCCGTAGATGGGGAAGAAGAGGTGGATTCAGACCTTTCCCAAGGGTATTTGCACGTAAGTGAATATAACGAACCCAAAGGGAATTGGAACTCGGTTCTTCGATTAACAATTCCAAGCCATTTTCCATTACACCATTCATACATCCAAGGTTACAGCACCTGGTATTCACAAGCGGTCACCCATCTAGGTACTGACCAAGCTCGGCGTTGATTAACTTCGGTGATCGTACGGGAACCGGTGTTTCAACGTGATATGGCCATAAGGAGAAATTTCCCCTCAGGCAGCTTTTTTTTTCTCTGAAACTGCTACTTTGTGGAATGACTCCCTTGTGGATACTTTCTTGGACATTACAATTCTGACCTCTTCAAGTCGAGTTTGATCGTTTTCTATCTTTCTTATTCTCATAATATTCACTTCCCCATTCATCACAACCATTTTAACGGTAACTCTTTACCTTGAGTAGCTCTCGTGCATTGTAATGTTTGAATTTTAATATAAAACTATACCTATAATCCTGATATGCGTAGTTGTTATGAGATAGTAGCTGTTGTTCTTGTAATGTGGCACTAGCGGGCGGTTCAGGAAATGTCAATTGCTTCTGTTTGTTCTTTTGATTAAAATTATCGACAATTAAAACTGAACAAATTCTGTTGACTGGTGTTATATAAAATAAAGGATGCAATTGGATGAGGAGGCAAGTTATTGAAATCTGAGACGACACGATTTTTACGACGAGGTTGTTAATGCTTTTTTTTTCAAACGAACAAATGCATGTTTCATTTTTTAATTTGAAAAAAAAAAAAAAAAAAAGGGAAAAAAAGAAATTGAAATGAATAAACTTGATTATGAATGAAAAGAACTAAACACGTAAGCATTAAATGTTTGTATTTATAGAAAGAGAGAGAGAGAGAGTGATGGGGGTAGGTATTGCACACGAGTTTATCACTTGCTTTGTCATTTGAAAATGGAAAAATAATACTTTCATTGAATGAACAGCCATTCAAAAATATATTTTACCACCCGCGAACGTCATCTCTACAACCACCTCCACCCCTAGCACCGCCATCACTCCCACCGCAAACAACATCATAACCATCTCCATTACTGTCACCCTCGTCATAATCATTACTATATATTTTTTTCATTATTCAATGTATTTTTTATCAACCATATCAATTGGTAGCCTACCTTCAGTGTTTGTAGTTTAGGTTCGAAATCGTTGCATAGCAATCTTCGATGTCAACATAACAGAATATCATCTTTGATGGTGATAGTGGGATGGCCAAGGACGCATTCTAAAAGCTGGAGAGAGTATTGCGCAACAGGAGGATTTCTTTGGTAACAGAGAAAAGAATACTGAGCTGCTACGTGACATCTCCTTCTTTACGATAATACTTAGGACAAGAACAACACATATAAGATTCGCCAGAGGCGCGTAGAAGTAGTCAACTGTCAGATATGAGTCAAGTGAATTCCACAATGAACCTCCAACTGGAGATCAACATACAGTATTTACTACTGTATTTATGTGAATGGGGACATACCCATTATTGTCCGTAGGTATACGACAACAATTTGTAAATGGAAGCCTTCTTGAAGGAGGTAATTTTGGAAGGGGTGAGGGTCAGTTACTTTATCATTAGCGGAGGTGCCGTGGAGTATTTTTTCACTGTCGGGGAAGATGGTAGAAAGAAGAAGTGACTATTATTCTAGTTTGTTGTCGTTTTACTTTTAACGCCTCTTTCTGATGAAGTTTCTCTGCTGTTTCGAAACTAGGTTCATATTTAAGTTGTCGAGTTCTGATCTGATCAGCATAGCTAGCCGGAGAATCGCCCTTGTATTTGGTAAAGGGAGTAGGGCTGTTTGTGTCATTACCAATGGAGGTTTCTGGGGACAGAGTTCCTGCTGTCTGGAGCTTTCCTTTGACTCTACCAACGACCTGCAATTCCTCTTTTTCCTTCTACGCGACCTCACAAGTAGCAGCCAAGGGTTTTTCGTCGAATGGGGACCGTGGAATGTATCCAATTGGAGGTTTTACCAAAGTTGTGCTGGTCGCTGGCATGCCCATTACAGGTGAGACTGAAAGAACAGGCTCGACCGAAGGGGGATTTGGATCGGTGAGGACCATAACTCTGGGTAGGGAGAGGAAAGTTGACCGGTCTCTCTACACTTCCAGCATGTTGGTCTACGGCCGGTCACGATGGTCGGCATTTTCTGGCTCTCTACATCCAGACAATTGGGTATGGAGACAAAAGCTTTACGAGCTATGATTATGTCGAAGCTCCCTCTCGCGTACAGGTCGTCGTCGGAAGCACTGATTTTCTGCCCAAATTAATCTAGATAAGCAGCCAAGTGTTCCTCGACGATCTGAGGAGGAGCCACATATTCTGAGACTTGTCCTCATATTCCGTCCTTAAAACAATATGTTCCACATCAAGTAACCCTTAACTTTGATGATTCATTGAGGTTTTATCCCAAGGGATGTTAAGGATTTGATAACAGTGTTTGTTGTGGAACAACAAATTTTACGTAAACGCTTGTCGACCACAAAGACTGGCACAATTCTTTTTTCAACTTTCTGTAATTTCACAGGATCTATCAAACTTCCATCTTTGATAAGTGGTTCGTAACCCTTGGCTTTTTTGAAGAAATCCGCCAAGTTGTTAATAAAGTTTGACCTTCCCGGCCGCTACATTGTCTTCTTTGTTGTTGTTACTTGTATTCTCCGAATTTTGGCCTTTTTCGGCCACTGTAATTTTATCTAGTTCCTTAACTTGGTCAGTTAACTTTGTAGATTCATTGTTGGCTTCCTCTGAATTTTGGTTATTTTCAGCCACCGTACTTTTCCCTATTCTTGGTGCTTCAGTTTTGTTGATTCTTTGATGTTTTCAGTTGTTTGTTTATTTTATCAGGAGGGTGTTTGTTTTTTTTGACCAAAAGAGATTTTTTTTTTACCGACCTGCTTTTTGCCGACCATTTTTTAAATAGACAAACTTTTCTTATATATATATATATATATATATATATATATATATATATATATTTCTTTTAAAAAGTAAAAAAGGGTTTTTTCCTTTTTTAAATAAAACGGAAAAGAAAACAGAAATTAAAGATACAAAATTAAACAATATTCCTACAAAGAGAAGAAAAAATTAAAAATAAAGACAGAAAAAAAAAAAAGGTTCGTCGGTAAAAGAAAAAATCTCCCTAAGTAAATAAATTCACGTAGTAAAAATAAACACAAAATTCCGTCTTCAAAGGGAGGGAAAAATTAAACAACAGGAATAAAGAAATATGAAAACAAATTAAATGAAACAAATTTAACAAGATGAACGAACAAAAAGACACACAAAAGTCGGTTTAACGAAAAATGGCTAGAATTTAAAAATAATAAAAAGATGACTTAAAAATATATACTCAAATTAAAACAAAGTCCTTCTACAAATAGAAGGAAAACAAACGAGAACAAAAAAGGGACAGACGATAAAAAAACGTTTGGCGGATTAACTAAAAGAATAAATTTACACAAACAACAAAATAGAACAAATGTAAAAAGGTTTCCTTTTTTTCATTTAAAAAAAAAATTAAAACGGAAAAATAAAACAAGGAAAAAATACTACAAAAGGAAAAATAAAAGTTTTACCAAAGAAAAATGGCCGACGTTACACGAAAATAAATAAAAAGCAAACAGATTAAACTATAAAGAAATGGAAAAGATACATGAGAAAAACTTGGCTTGCGAGGACACAAAATCAAGACACGAAGTAACGCGTAGTAAACAAAAACCAAAAGAAAAAGTAGAAAGAAATTAAAACAAAATTAATTTACTAGTGGGGTTTAGAAATTAAAAGAAAACGGAAAATTAAATACAATTCAAACAAATAATGAAATTAAATCAATCGTCCAGTAAAACTACGTGTTACACTAGCAAAAAAAAAAAACAAACAAAAAAAAACAAAAAACAAAAACAAAAAAAAAAAACGACACGAGATTCGGAAGGAGGGTGAAAAAATAAAATTGAAACGAAAAAAAGGAAAGTTCTGAAAACTTCCAGAAACAAACGCCAAGAAAAAACGTAAGAAAAATTAAACTTAACGTAAAATGATGATCCTCCGAGCACACACACGCACAAAAAAATTTAAATGTCTGTTCTACTCGATAACGCTACAAAATCTTACACGACGCGGTGAACCGAATTTTTTAACAGCTGACCTAGCAATTGATTCAATGTAGTCTTTCCACTTCATGTCAGCTGAGACGCAAAGAGTCACTTATCTATCTATAGGATTAAATATAAGTCAAATATGGATCACAATCCGAGGAAATGTTAAGATAAAGCACAAATAGCAAACATTAATAACTCTAACAATTAACAGTTAAAGAAACTAACGTATGTTTAAATAAAACAAATAAGTATGCACGTAAAAATGTTCCCAGATCATAATGCGAAAAACCAACAAACATCATGTTTACTAGAAACTTACGAATATACATTATCATCTGAATCTCTCATAGACAAACTAGAATTATTACATTTGACATCCGAAAAGCAATATTTACGGTTTTTCATTTAGGCTTGGAATCCGTCGATTTCTTGGAGTTTCGAAAGGACGCGTCGTTTCTCCTTGAATTCGGAACGCCGTAAATTATAATAACTTTTGTTTAACAAGTTAAATGCATGTGAAACTTAATTAAGCAATGAAAATCAAACAAAAAATAAAAATGCCAGAAATTCTTTCTTCTTTTTCTCTTCACTGCATCGCATTCTCTGATGAAGCTTTAATAAAAAAAAATGAAACAGGTTAGATTGATAAACGTTTCCTATTTGTCCTTTATGCTATCATTCTGTTAGATTCATATATATATATATATATATATATATATATATATATATTATAATTATTTTATATATATATATATATTATAATTATTATATATATATATTATAATTATTTTATTTTTTAAATATTTTTTCGCAACACAGAGATTATTATGTTTTGAAACCGAGACTTAAATCTTAAAATTCAACTTTAAAATTTAAACTTAGAATTAAGAGCTCGGTTCCATTCTCAAGCGATGCTAAGAATAACTTACGAAACAATTGGATTTACTCTATTTTTAAGTTAATTGATGGTGTTAAGAGAATTCCCATTTTTTTTTTTTATTAATGGGGTGTTATTATTATTATTATTATTATTTGTTGTGGATTCCGAGATGAAATTCGGTCTCCAATGAATGACAAACGCAAGAATTAAATATAA